CATGGGAAGAAAGAATGGTGCAGCAGACGCATTTACTCAGCAGGAGAATCTGCCCTTCCCCTTCCTCCCCTGACTCCACCTCATCTGGCCCACTGGAAACAGAACCCCAGTTAGCCTCATGAAAAACACCACGCCTGATTTCAACGAAGACACCTTGGCTGTGCACAGCCACAGGCCCACAGGGTGTGCTTTCCCCTCTGCTCTTCCCACCAAACCCTCCTTTATTCTCCACCAGACCAGAGGGCAATAGGGCAACTTCATCCTCCTGAGCGGCTCCACATTCCACAAAGGGGCCGTTGCTATTTGCCACTCTGGGAAAGAAAGCCCATCACAGGCCTTCCCCTATGGAGCCCTCTCTCTTTCCCTGCCTCTCCTCCAGCTGCTCCTGGTTCAAGTCGCTGCCTGCCCTGGCTAATAATGCCTTGTCACGCAGTGACAGAATTACGGCCTCACACTGGTTTCACATGTCACAAATAATTGTGCTCATTGCGCATCATATTGAAGTTGTCAGGCCTCTCTTACGCCTGTAATTTGTGTGAGTTGATCATACTTTGGTAAATCAGCAGGTCGCGACCTGTGCCCTTTAGCCCCTGTGGCTGGCTGAGAATGACCTACAAATCTTGTGACAGGGACAACAGAGAGGGTATGAACTGCTCAATTGCTCATGTCTATCAGCTGCCGTGGAGAAAGCCCGTTGCTCTCTGCTTTCACCATCACTTTAAACAGCTAACACGGCACCCTATGTCAGCCCATCTTAATTTCTTCACATCTGGTTTTTTTCCCCCCTAGATTTTTTTTAAGTACTTTTAGATATTTCTAATTTTTTTTCCTTTACCACAAGACATTTTGGTGCCAAACCCAGTGTCTTTCCTCCATGTGTTTTAAATAAAAACCTCCAGCGACTATGATAAAGTGAACAGACCTCACGCTCTCTGTCCAGCCCAGCTGAATAGAGCTCCATGCAATGGTTAAATCTGGCTGGCAGCTTTATGAGCTCCATTGCTAACACTTTATTGGGTAACACGTTCACAAATAGTGTTCCTGAGCCTTTGTTTTCATTAAGGTACAACATGTACCATCAAGTTGCATTTAATGCTCTGCTTCATATTTTATCCACAGTATCGCTGACCGTGGCCTTCAGTATCTAATGCTGGAAAGAGGGTCATGAAGTTCGAGCTGCTTTCATTACCCTGGATCTTCAATAACTGGCTTCTTAAAAAGTCAGTGGAAAAGAAGCAAGATGACCAAGTTCTGTCCAGACTGATGCTCTGTAGAAATGCTGGAGTGAGGTCAAGAATAAAATAGTTTTATGTGGATCTGTCTCCAAGAGAGCTGTTGCAAGTTAGGTGCCCAGAGTGACTAGCCTCCTCCTTGGCTAAGAAAGAGAACATGGCGTCAGTGGCCTCATGATGTTCACTCCGGTGGCTTCCCATTCTTTGTCAAGCTACCTCACTCCTGCAAAGATGCACCCGTGGATGGGTTTGCAATTCTGAAAGCAGACAGCAACATCTGCCTGCCTGTGATGGGATGTCAGGAAGTGAGGATGATGCCACTTGTTGGAGCAACAGCAGGCCTAAGGGCAGTGGGTGAAAGGAGATAAAATGAGCAAGGCTCTCTCTCCACACCATACAGGGCATGCCCATTTAATTTCCAAAAGCATCAGCTGAGGGCTTGTGAACCAGGAATAATTAGCAGCACACAGAAGCAATACACAGTTGTTACAGAAGACACAAACTCATGGTGCTCGACTGTTTGGATCCCTTTCCCCCTTACCTCTTCGGGTTCATAGGCACAGACCCACGGTGATTCTCAGCACTGAAAGCCATACCACTTTTGATGCAACTTACAACAGCCAATCACCAGGTTAGGGCAGGCGTGGGGGAAGAAAATGTGTCTGGGTCGCGACTATAACCCTCCAAAGGCCCAGCTATGAGGCAAGTTCAATGCAGATGTGGGTGGTTATGGACTGCAGGTTTACTTTTCAGGAGTATCTCTTTGCTGAGATACCTTAACGGAGATGTAGGCAGATAGGGGTTCAGATCACAGTACCACCTCTAACTAGCTTGGTGACCTAGGCACTTTACCTTAATTCTCTGTGTCTCAGTTCCTCAACCTGCAAAGTAGTTGGCTCACAGTAGGTGCCGAGTTGATGTTACTTTTTCCTCAGTCTGGGTTTTTGTTTGCAAGCAATGTAGCGTGACAGTTAAGCAGAAAAGGAATAGATGGGGAAGATGGGGGGAGCTTACAGAGTCTGAAGAAAGGCTGGAGAGCTAAGATGAAAAATGAGCTGGAACCAAGGGAGGTTACAGGGCAAAGAACATAGCCAATGCCCGACCTTGGGCACAATCTGGTTACGATTTTGCCCCTGGCACCACCTCTGCTGGCCCTTGGGTTCTACCACTGAACCCCAGGCTTCCTTCTCATTCTTTACATGGCGCTAGAGAAAGAAGGAGTACAGTTTTCAAGTTTTACTCATGACCACTTTAATACAGTGTATATTTTTTGGTTCCTTTTCAACAAAGGTGGTTGGGGGGGTGGAGAATCTGCATTAAAGCAGCCTGATCAGCTAATCCAAAGCCATGCTGTGTATAAGTGACACTGTTTGGAATGAAAACACACGTGCATCTCCAGTTCCTATTAAGTTGCGTCCATAACTAGCTCATGGAATGACTGTGGGAAATTTCAGGGGAAAGAGTGAAACTGTGGCTTCCCTGGGAGCAGTGAAGACCCTGGCTACCAAGTGCAAAGTTATCTTGAACTCCCACCTCTGTCACTGGTGAGACAGAGCTCTAAAGAAGTGCCTTGGATGGCCATGCGTGATGGGACTCAGTCAAACCATGGATAGGAAGAGAACGAAAATCAAATCTGGAAAATTCAGTCACCCCATTATTGAGTGGTTATGTTCTAGGCACTAAGCTAAGTTCTTTTGTGGCATTTTTTTATTTAACTTTCAAAATAAATCAATGAGCTAACTATTATTATCCCCATTTTACAAATGAGGAAATCAAGGCTCCTGAGTTGGAGGGCATGGGGAGTAACATGGACATAACACAAAAGCTGGGCCTTAAGGCTTTGCCTTCAAAGCAGGACGTGCCCACAGATGTCTCTGGGTGGCGGCGGCAAAGAAAAAGGACACGGGAATCCCAGGGCACAATATCGTGGGTACTTAATAAATGCCTGGTGATCTCATAATCTCCAAAACCGGTATTGTTTGGGCTAAGGGATCAAGAGACAAAAAGCTAAGGAATATTTCATGATCTGGAAACTTTCAGTTCCTTTAATATGAAAATGCTCAACATGAAGTATTAAAGATGTAAGGATTCAGAGGTTGCAGGAGGCCAAAGAAGATTAAGAGATTCTTTCCCCCAAAGGAAGTGCATAGTGTATCCATTACAGGGCATGGGGATTTTCCCTCCCCTCCCCTCCCCCGCCCTCTCTGCTTAATAGAGAAAATGCTGAAAACTTTGAAGAAATGCATTCTTTGTTCCTTAAGTTCCATGATTAATTAGGTATAAGCCATGTTTCAAAACGTTTCGTCATTTATTTGTAATTCTCCCCAGAGCGTGTACAGTAACTTGGCTCAGAACACATAGACTACATTGCAAATGCTACTCATATGCTGAAACTTTTTATGTGTCTTTCCCTTCCCTTCTCTGCTTTTCCCTATAGTACTTGAGTGGAAGAACAAAGCTGGATTTCCATCGGAGAGCACATACTGCTTTGAGCAGATTTCTCCAGGCTACGGGGAACCCTCAGAAGGGGGACTGGAAACAGTCAGCAGGCAGCTATGCACCCACAGAGCATGAAGCCTCCCAGGTTCCTGCAGCCCCGGTATCTCTGCATCAGTCAAGCAAAGATGTACATTTGTTTTAAGTCAGTCTTCATCTCTCCAACTCCCTCCACACCCCCTTCCCCAGGAGGAATCCCCAGACATAAGCTAGGGAGCAATACAGTATAGCAGTAAACACGTGGGATCCAACCATGGGCCTCTGACTCCTCTTTTAGATCTTTGTTCTTTTTCTCTCATCTATAAAATGGGGATAAGAATAGCCTCCAAGATCCACTGGGTCTTCGTAGGAACAAATGTGATTTAGCAGAGTGCTTCATTCAGAATATGCTTTCTATGAGTGTTGATATTATTTTTGTTATTTTCGTTTGGCCCAACTCCAAACCCCCAACACTCATGTGCGTGCGCATGTGCACGCGTGCGTACACACACACACACACACACTCTCCGGGGTCAAGTGACTTAGGATAGTGCTTGGAGCAGTGAGTCTGAGTCTGTGGAAGAGAAATTGGATCAGACAAATTTCCAAGTTGAAGCAATCTGTGTTATGCATGCACACACAAAACACACAACACACATGTACACGTGCATACACACGGCCTCAGGGTACAAGATCTCTTGCTGATTCCAAGGCAGAGGCCACCCTTCTTGCCTTCCATCAGACCCCCGACTTGCTGCAGAGACAGCCCCTCCTTTGTAATATCTTTACTTCCATATCTTTGCTTCCCTTCACCTGTCAGAAAGAACACTCCTCCTACAAAGCTCAGATCAAATGCCGCCACCAGTTTGCAGTTCTCACTTTCCTCACTTTAAGGTGGACTGTGTGTGGTCAAGGGTGAGGCCTCATCTCCTAGACTTCATCTGCCTGGGCCTTGAAGGTGCGTTGAATTGAATCACCAGGTGTATCAGTTTCCTGGGGCTGCCGTAACAAAGTACACAAACCCTGTGGTTTAAACACCAGAAACTTAGAGTCTCATGATTCTGGAGTCTAAAAATCCAAGTTCAAGGTGTCAGCAGGGTGGTTCCTTCCAAGGGCTATGAGGGAGAGTCCGTTCCACGCCCCCCTCTTAGCTTCTGGTGGTTTGGTGGTGATCTTTGAGGTTTCTTCATTTGCAGAAGCATCACCTCAATTTTTGCCTTTAGCTTCATATGGCATTTTCCCAGTATGCTCTGTCTCTGTGTCAAAATGTGCCCCCTTTTTGGGGGGTGGTTATGGGATGCACTTCTGGTAAAAACCAGAAAACCTGCTAGACAAATTCAAAAAGAACTTAACACTCATAATTTGTCCTTATTATAAGAATACGATTATTTTAGATGAGGACCCACCCTAATGACCTCATCTGAACTTGATCACCTGCGAGGAAACTATTTCCAAATAAGACCACATTCACAGGTACAGGAGAGGAGGACTTTAACGTTTTTTTCCTCAGGAGAGGCAGGGGACACTGTTGAACCCATGACCAGGAGTGAGTGAGCAACAATTCTGAGTCAGAGCCTGTAGGTTCATTCTGTTTCTTTCTTTTTTTTTTTTTTTTTTTTTTTTTAAGAAATGGGACCTTGCTCTATTGCCCAGGCTACAGTGCAGCAGCATGATCACAGCTCACTGTAGCCCCAAACTCCCAGGCTCAAGCAATTCTCCTGCCTCGCCCTCCCAAGTAGCTGGGATTACAAGCTAATCTTTTTTTTGAGACAGAGTTTCACTCTTGTTGCTCAGGCTATAGTGCAATAGCGCGATCTCGGCTCACTGCAACCTTTGACTCCTGGGTTCAAGCAATTCTCCTACCTCAGCCTCCCGAGTAGCTGGAATTACAGGCATGTGCCACCATGCCTACCTAATTTTTTGTATTTTTAGTAGAGACAGGGTTTCTCCATGTTGATCAGGCTGGTCTCAAACTCCCAACCTCAGGTGATCCGCCCACCTCAGCCTCCCAAAGTGCTGGGATTACAGGCATGAGCCACCGCACCTGGCCTACAGGCTAATTGTTTTTAATTAAAAATTTTTGTAGAGACAGAGGTCTGGCTATGTTGCCCCAGTTGGTCTCAGACTCCTGTCCTCAAGCCATCCTCCTGCCTCAGCCTCCCAAAGTACTGGGACTACAGGTGTGAGCCTCTGCTCCCAGCCTCTGTTTCTAATTCTAGCAGAGCAGAGCACTGAGAATACTGGGAGGGGAACATCCAAGCCTGCCTTTATCATCAAACACAGATAGTCCTAGTCTGGTGGTTCTCAAGCCCTGCCGCCACATTAGCCCGGCCTGTAGATCCTAAAGACAAAATGAGACAAAAGCAAACAACACTGGGGTGAGGAAGACAGGTCAGTGGGACTCAGCCATCACTTTCAGGTGCAGCCGAGAAGGAAACCCACTGTACTAGACTAAACACACAAACAATCCGTGTGGGTTTTCCTGGTCTAGCCCAAGAGGCATTTCTTGTTTAGGGGCTTACACTGTTACTTGGGATGTTTAAACAACTCTTAAAAAATTAAACTGACCTCTTATGTAGAATTCTATAAAGCACATAGAATGTTAAAAATCTCCAGATGGTTGAGATTAAGGAAAAATCATACGCTCTCCTAAACGATGCAGCCGTTCGTCTACTTTTGGTAGCACCAACTCTTGCCCAAATGGAGAAGTGGAGGCGGGGGTTTCAGTCTCTCATGGTCGTAAATGCCTTGAGATCCAAGAGGAAAGTTTTTATAGGCCATGAAGACACCCCTGCTGGCTCGCGGTGGCCAGCAAGTTACTCTAAGCGTATACTCAATGTGCCTTGCTGGTTCAATAATACATGGTATTATTGGTGCCTCATGTTTCAGTTGGAGAGAGAAGCTGGCATATGAGGAATATGCAGACACCTGGAGGGAAATGAGCTATCCATGGGCCCAGGTTTTTTAGCAGAAAAGAGAGCAGGCGCACTGGTAATCATAAACAGCAGGGAACACTTGCATGAGTATATCATGCATCTGATAGTTAACGGTAGCGATGTCCTTAATACTTCTAAATTTTTATGCCAATTTTCTATCTACCAAAATCCAATTTCGAATACTCAGCTACTTGAGTGACCACATTCTTCTCTGTGTTTTAGAAATATGAACACGAAGCAGTTTCTTTGGAAATTAAATACATTCGTATCGAGGATATTTATTAGAGAGACTGGAAAGACAAAAGTCACTTACATTGGCAGTTCATTCTTTGCTACCTGAGAACAAGTTATAAGAAATAGCAACTAACAGGCATACCGGCCCCATAAAGGAACTGTGAAATTACTCATTCAGGTAAAATTCAGTTTTCTTATTTCAGAGGGAATTGGGGGAGGAGGTGTCGAAGAAAATCGGATAGTCAATTAGGACTAGCTACATGGTTAATCGCAAAGATTACAAATCCCAGGGATGTAAACGGTACCTATGGCCCCACCATTTTCAGAAAACATTTAAAATAATAAAACGATAATTTATCCATTGCCACAAGTTTGACCTCTTACCCTGGTCCTATCAGAGTGGGTCCAGCAGAAAGGGGAGGAAGGTCTAAATTTTGCCTGGGTGATGTGAGGTTAGGGACTGAGGACCCTCTTCTGCCAAAAAGTTAATCTCCAGTATTTATTTGGGTGCAAACGAAAGTAGAATAATGGGGAAGGAGGTCCTTCATGTAAGAGAAACTCAAAAGCTTTACAGACTGAATTAGGTGTAATCCTTATGGGATCCCTAACAGCTCATAAATAACTTTTAATGAGATTTCCAGCGAGTAAAATAGCACGTGGGGGAAAAAGTATTCTTTTTTATTTTTGTTATTTTGTTTTCAATAAAGCACATGCTTCATATCGTTGTTTTCCAAACCCATAACCAAAAGAAGGGAAACCATTTCAATAAGAAGAGATTAGTACTGAAAATATTTAATTAACTGATAGGGACAGGAAACGCTTGAATATGTCATTGAAAATACTTGACATTGACCACTAATCTATGGAAACTTATAGAGCTGAGTCTAAAGCATGTTCCGGAGTTAAGCAGAGAAATAAATCAAGGTTTGCAAATGTCATTTAAGTTTTCACCTGTCCCACGATTCAAAATTATTGGCTTTCCAATGAAAAGCATATGTTGTGTCCCATGCCTGGGGAGTAGTAATGAAGTGAGGCAGACACTCTCCAGCGCTCCCTCCCATGGTGCCCCTCTTTATTTCCCATCAAGTGAAAATAATTACTGTATCCTTAAGGGAGCGCTTCCCTGCGTCTGGTCTGCCGATAAGGACTGCCATGCTGGCTCCTCCAGCCCTGCCCCTCTTCCTTGAGGGACTGTGGTTTGATTTATGAGAAAATAGTTGGCAAATTGCAATGTCCATCTTGATGGATGACATCATTTGGACCATTTTGCTGATCACGTATGACTATCTTTTTTTGTTTAGCCTGGTTGCAATTGATCCACTTCTCCAACAGCTGAAGAAGGGGGCAGGGGGTAATAGCAATTGCCTTTTCTTGGAGAGGTCACCAAGCAGAAAGAGCTCTGGCCTTTTGTTCCCTAGAAGCAGGGATGTTCAAGTCCTTTACAAAGAGCTCTCATAGGCATTATCTTAGACCATCTGAACAAAGGCTCTCAGAAGTAGACAAGGCAGGTATAGTTCTCCTTACAGGGAAGATAACGTGAAGTTCAGAGATACTGCGCATTACCCCAGGTCACACAGCTAGTCAAAATCAGGGGTTCAAATCTTGGTCTTTTGACTCCAAGCAAATTCTCCTTTCTCTCTTCATTGTTTCTTGGTGGAACAAGAGCATACATTTAGGGACAAAGTCAAACTCCCCCATCATAGGCTATTCAGTCCTGCTCCTTCCTGAGTTTCTGGGAGCTTCCTAACTGATCTCCAGGCCCCTGACATCTCCCTTCCCATCTTTCCTCCTAGCCACCAGAGCATTCTAACCCTACAACGCAAATCCAGCTACGTCACTATCCTGCTAACTTTCAGTGTCTTCTTACCCCCCAACACTTGCCTCTCAGAACTTCCCACCTTATCCTCTCTAACAGGAAAGCTGTGGAGGTGTGAGTAGAACCCACGGTGGTCTACTCTGAATTTTGTGATCTCACGCTTTGTATCTCATTTAATAGGGGCTTGGCATTATATTCAATATATTCTTGTTTACTTTCACTTGAAAACAATGATTTCAATCTAATCTTTAATTAAAATTAATGCCCGGGAAAGCAGCCTCATCTTTATTTTACGGCTTTGCGTTCTCCTTAGTATACCTCCTAGCTTTGAGTACTGCTAGTCTACATCCTGGGTCCCAGGGGATCAGGTCTAGGGCCTTACCATTGACTATAGCCACCTTACCTTTCTCCTAGCTTACTTCTACCACTCACACCCTGAGCTCTTACGTTACAGCCACGTTGATCTTTCATGCCTCCGTGCCTTTGCACGTGATCCTCCCTCAGCCCGAAAGTCTCTTCTGCTTTACCTCGAAACTCCCAGCATACATGCATGGCACCCCTCAGTGCACCTTCCCTTGTGCCCCCCACTGTGGCTCTATCGCCTGCACCCCATTCCCAGTAGCAGTTAACTCTTTGGATCCTAGTCATCTATAAGAATGTCTGTCTTTTCCCACTCAACTAAGTCCTCTTACCCAGCATCTTCATAACTACCAGAGCCCAGTATACTTGGCATAAACTAGGTACTAAATAAGTGCTTGTGAAATAAATAAAAACTATTAACATATTTCCACTAGGAGAATTGTTTTTAGATGCTAGCCTAATCTCAGTTGCTTACATTGTACAGTTTATAAGAGCTTTTATACATTTTTAAAAATTCTACCGTGTGCATTTTTTATGTGTGCCAGGTGCAATATCTCATTGGATTTTCATGATCTCATTTTTTCTTCAAAAAAGCAGGTAGAGTAACACCTCATTCTCTTGCCATAACTTGGAGGTAAAACCCAGGTCCTGGAGTTCAAATGCCTGCATTTGGATCACCCTCTCCTTGCTATCTCTCCTTGAGCTCAGTTTCCTCATCTGTAAAAGAGGATGATAATGGTACTAATACCGTGTCAGTGAAGGCGGTGAGCTCTAGAAATGACCGCCTAAGCCAGGAATTGGCGAACTATGGCCCATGGGCCAAACCCAGCCCACCACCTGTTTTTGTGTGGCCTGGGAGATAAGAATGGTTTTTATCATCTTAAGTGATTTTTAAAAATCAAGAGAGTAATCATATGTTGTGACCCCTGAATATTATATGAAATTCCAATTCCAATGCCTATAAAGTTTTATTGAGAAATAGCCCTGCCCATTTATTTACATATTGTCTGA